CACTTATATAGTACACTTCTCCTATTCGTGATAATGTCACTTGACACCCATTAAATAATTTGTTCATGTCTAAATTACGTTTATAGGATAAGCACTTGCTATCCCGAACCCAAGAGAGAGTCACTTGACTCTCAGACTCTATCGTTCTTATTCATCTATTCAATCAAACAAATTGTTTTTACCACGTTAACCTAAAAAAAACAGGAAAAACGTAAACCTACTTGTTTTCCTCGAAGCTGACGAGCTTGATTCCAATGCTTCCAGTTTTTTACTCAAACTGTATAACTTTTCTTCCAAACTATTCAACTTTTTAGATCCCTTCCATCATATATATTGAAATTATATATTAATCCGTCTGTACTTTGAAGAGTACAAAAATCGAATGAATCAGGGAGTATTGGTCATGCGATAACAGGGAGTTAGTCAAGAGTTTTTTATGTTTTGAATGATAAACATGTACCGCGACGAGAAAATGCAAAAATGGGAAACTACATAGTAATTATTAAGAAAGACAAGCGATGGAAAATATGAAATTGTTTTTCCCTTTACATCCTTTTTCTGCCAGTTAGGTAAGAGTTGGAATGTCAAGTTTTTTTCGACATTGTTTCTTCACTAACTCGTCTGATTATATTTCAGTTCCAGTATCTTTAGTACTTCATCTTTTCAATTCGTCTTTTTCTTTCCATTAGATTTTATATCGGTTTGAAATCTCTTTTTGACGAAAGAACTGAATGAAATATGAACATCTACCATTAAATAATATTGGAATTACATCTTGAATATTTCAAGCTCAAGCATGTACTTGCGTTCAGTCAAAAAAATGTAACACTTGAATTATTAATAATTTTTATTTTGTTTCGGTAATTGAAAATGCAACACACCCTGTACTGTACATCAAGCATTTATTTTCAATTATTGTTTGAGATTTTTACGTTGATGAATGACTGTGTCGCAGATTAATGTTCACATATATTATTTTAGATATGTTCAATATAATGTATAAAAGTAAGTCAGACTTATTGTAATTACACTTTTGCACTGCCCTCATTGCATTTCCAACATATTCAGATCTATCAGATATTAAAAAGGTCAGATTAATATTCTTTAATGTTCATATGCATATAAATAATAATCCACCCCAAAGTGTAATCAGATCATATCATGCTACTTCTATGTGAACTCCTAAAAACTTTGTGGATTCTGAAGGGTATATATTCGTGTTATTTATAATAACGTGTATGGGATATTCCACAGATTTTCTTTAAGAAAACTGTACCAATACTGTTTTTTTTTGCATTAGACAATAAGTCTATTTCTTTGACACCACTTTGAGAAATGTTGACTTATTACATTCAATTTTTCTTGAAGTTCCAAAGTACTGTCGGCTTCTGCGGAAATAGAAATATCATCGGTAAAAAGAACTATCGAAGTAGAGCCGATATGTTGTGGTAAATCATTTATGTATAGTAAAAACATTAATGGCCCCAAGACTGAGCCTTGCGGAACTCCAACTTCTAAGTCATAAGTATTCGAGTTTAGATTATCCCATTCTACGTACATCTTTCAAAATTTCATATAAGACATAATCCAAAATAGAAATTTACCTCGAATTCCAATTGCACTAAGTTTCTTGGCCAGTGTATTGAAGTTTATAGAATCAAAAGCTTCTGATAAATTGAAGGAGAGTGCGACCACAAACTTTCCTTTGTCAATTCCTCAATAAATATTTTCCAAGAAAGTGTATTCGCACTTTCCATCGATCTACCGTGGCAAAATCAATTTTGACATTTGTTAATTACATTATGTTTCGTTGAGAAAGGAAGTAGTTGTTCATAGATACATGTTTCAATTATTTTGCTCAACACACTAGGAATAGTTATTGGTCGGTAGTTGTCATTCAACAAGGGATCATTTCTTTTCAAGAGAGGAACAATTTTTCCTAATTTCAGAATTTTAAAACAGGTCGATATCAACAAAGCATCTTGTTTTGATAAGTGCCTGTCATCTTACTTGAAAAGTGCGCAAATGAACTCTCAACAGTATTTTGCAGACTTTTCAACTTGTCTCACAAGAAAGGGGTTTTTCCGTCTTCTTGGAAGATTGCTTGCGTTTAGCCTATTACCAAAAAGGGCAAGAAAAATCTTCCAAATAACTTTAGACCAGTCGCTTTGCTATCAGTGATATCAAATATCATAGAGAAAGCTGTAAACCACCATATCTTCAAATATTTATAAGGCTTTGAATTTTAAGTAATCATCAATATGGCTTTCGGAAGCAAAGATCAACAGGCGACCGTCTATCGTATGTCACCCATATTTGGCAAAAAAAACACAATCGAGAAACATGGAGGGTCAATAGCTGTTGCGCTCGATATTTATAAGGCCTTTGACCGTGTGTGGCATGAGGGGTTTGCTGGCCAAACTTCGATGATATGGCTGGTTGGATCATTTTTGTGTATGACCCTCCAGCTTCCTGAAAAAACGTTCCCTGCAAGTGATGGCCATTGATGGGTATCTCTCGAATACTTTTACCATCAACGCTGGTGTTCCCCAGGGATCCATCTTGTCTCCAATCCTCTTTTTATTGTATATCAACGACT